GACAACAGGTGGACTTAGCTCTCGAGAAGCGCCTGATGGTGGTCCTAGTACAGTCACGATGCCACTACATTGACCATGATGAAGTGCCTGATGCCGTGTATAGGGACATCCTACTGCGGACAGGCTACTGCACTGGAATACAGGCAGACGCTTTGGTACGGCATAGACCTCAATCGTCCTTTACGGGTCCTCCTTCAGATAAGCAAACTACCAGTTGTACTCTTCCACCTCTTCCCTAGTGGTGAGATCTCCCAACACCCCGTCAACGACGTGGCAAGGGCGGTCTGTCAGGTCTATCAAGGGGAGGCCAGGGAATACAACGAAGTGAATAGGGAAGTGCTACGGTTCTCCCCACCTGTGTGCTCTCAGGCAGCAGCAGCAGCAGCGTCGTCGTCTTCCTCGTCTTCGCAGTACTACAAGCCTCCACACGAAGCGGTGTCCCCCGATAGACCCGAGGCGGACTTCCAACGAGACTCCTCCCCTGAATGGTCGGGAAGGTCAACAGGCGTGGTCCCCCAGGCCTCTGCTGACCTTAGGGTCTCTCGTACTAGGCAGACCTACTACCCGGACCATGCCCAGTCCTCTGTCGAATACAATAAGCCGTTAACCCAACATCAACCTCACGATAGTAGCCATCGCCCTATCATCTCGGGGAGCAAAATGACCGCTGAGGAAATTGGAATGGAAGTTGCGAAGGCCCTGTCGGTTGGCCAACGAGTCTTTCGAGTGAAGGTTGAATCGAAAGTAGTCCACGACCATGCCCACGTTATGACGCCCGGCGACTACTTCGTGGAGGCGCCTCTTCCTGACGGGCAGTCCTCCAGGAGGGGGATGTGGTCCTGGGGGTTCAAGATTGGTGATAGTAGGACGCGGAAGTGGTTCCTCAACGATGCCTCGACGGTGGAGGAAATAATTTGATTACGATGGTCACTCGGTGAGAGCTCAGAGGACGAGTTTCATTTTGACGTGTTGGTTCGGTAGTTGTCAATACGATGCGCGCGAGTTACGGTAGGGCCATGGCGAAATTCGGGCCCGCACAGGCTTGTCTGTTATGTTCACAACAACAGCCATCCCTGCGCCCTTGTCGAGGGAGCTGGAGATCCGCCTTATGGTCTTTATAGTGCAGGTTTTAGGGAAGGCCCCTGACGCCACTCACGAGGAGTTGAAGGACGTGCTCATGCGTACAGGGCATTGTACGGGCATCCAGGCCAAGCTGCTGGTAGTCGGTAGTACTACGTAGGAGTACCCACCAGGGCCGCTCGTTCAGTTGGAGAAGTTGCCGGTCATTTTGGTGTACCTCTTTGATGGGGACGAGGTGACTGAGTATTCCATCTCCGATGTAGCGGCTGCTGTGTGCCAAATCTACGAACAAGAGGATGAGTTTCGACAGGTAGGGTGGCTGTCAGTGTGGTAGAGTATGCGCATCATCAGCCATATGTGTTGGTGACAATATGGAAAATTAAGAGGAAATTTTGGGAGGTTATTTTTGATTCCTGCACATTTTTAACCGGAATCATAT